AAACTGCCAATTCATGGGGCAGAGATCAGCAGCTGTCAAATGTGGAAATTCTCACTGCTATTCTATAGCAAGATTTATATCAGAAGGCTCCTGTTCATATTTCAGCTGTAATTAGAGACTTGGCTTAGGCTTGGCCCATACAAATAAGTGCAATAAAGCGAGAGCAATTGATACCCAAAACTAAGAAAATCACCCTTATCTTTCTTGCTCTCCTGAGCCACCTAACTCCCTGTTATTCTTAGCAACATATTCCTCCCACTGACAGCTTCCCAGGTAATAGTGTAGTGGCATAACATTGATGTATTTAAGTAAAAGAAGTTTGTTCATTTGATGTTTCTTTTTTGGCCTGTGGTTCTGAGGAGTTCTGAAGATTTCACTGTGCCAATAAACACAACATTCACTTCCCAAAATTTAATTACACCATTAAGTGCAAACATTCCTCAATGCCTTCTGAAGAGTAAGTAGTAGTGCTCTGAAAATTTTGTGTAAATTGGCATTCTTTACTCAAACAGGCTGTGCATTCAGGACTGTATCTGCCTGAGTGACAAATGGAAAGTTTCTATATTTTTTTAGTCTTATTAGTCCTCCAGGAACCAAGGGAAATAAGGAAAGCTTGGGAACAGCCTCTCAGCAAAACCATTTCTCCCATGCACTGGTCAATAGAATTGCTTATTCAGCTATCCTGGTTTATATTAGGCTAAAATCACTATAGCACAACAGATGTGTGATTCAAGTAAAGTGAAAGGGTTTTGTTCACACAGGTAAAATTTTGCTGGTGGAAATATCCAAAGACTAAAGAATTCATCTCAATTCCCAGATCCCAGTTAGGGGCACATATATCTGGAAGCTACAAACAAAAAAATTCATATGTTTACAAAGTGAGCAGATGTAACACAGGTTCTGGACAGAGATAAGACAGCTCTGAACAGGTCAGCTCTGAGCACAAAGCTGCTGCAGAGGAGGCTTCTGTCTATAGCACCAAGAGCAGATGGGAAATAACCTCTACCCTGAGGGCCACAAGAAACCTCTGATCCTGGAAGGAGTTAGGAAAACTCTCAAATAAAACCTGACTGACCTGCAGGCTAAAAGCTGGCCCATAAAAATATCTCTGGAACCACTGAACACAGAATAAAAGGGCATTTCATGTCTGTGCAAGCAAGAAGATGGAAGAACATGTCATAATGTGGTGTGTGGAGTGAGTCAGTGCCTTCAGAGAATACAAATCATATACTGGTGAATGGGAAGCAAATGATCTCAGGAACTCTGATTAAACCACTCAGAGTCTCCCAAACTTAGCTTGCAGTAGGATGTGCAGGAGAGAGTGGAATCAATTAAAAGCTTGCTCTGCTCTGGTTTGTTGGCATCAAGATGGCAAAGCAGAGCAGCAGGGACTGAGCCCAAAAAGAAAGGAGGAAAATGAATTTTTCTTTAGGCGTCTCTATCTTCAGAATACCTGGAGAGGGTAGCAAGCAGAAGGCTGAGCTGCTGGCTTTTACACCAGACATATCCTCCCTAAGTTTCCTCTTTAGAACTTGAACAGGCAACCAGCTGTAGAACAAATTTTGAATAGCAACGACAGAGGGATCTGTGAGTATCTGCCACTCCTGGAACTGACCCTTCAGCTAAGCAAATTCCTATTCAAATCATTTATTTAAATGAAGGTGAACAGGGCTTAGAGATCAGTCAAGTATACCAGACAAGAACAATTCAGCACTTTGAGTCCTGCCAGCATGTCTGAGACAGAAGGCATATGGGTGTTGTTATCAGAGCTTGGATATTGGTGTCATTGTGGGTGTAGAAGGTCTTTCAGTTTAATATAATGATTTTTGTCTGCACTGCCAGCTTTTCATTGTCACATTTAAAGGCTGTCTTTGCTTTGTGCTCCGTGACTGCCTATTGATCCATGAGCTGAGCACCAGGAAAGTCAGGTTTTTGATAGAATAAGAAACTGGAAGTTGGTTAAGGCTGCAATGGTTCTTGCCACTCTGTACTGATCAGAGAATGGAAGATGCTGATGTCCAGAATGCTGTCAGGAGTTCAGAGCTGGTCTAGAGTAACATGATTTTAAAGCTATCAGAGCCTGGGCACTCTGTGACCAGAGGATGTATTTTCTTGAGTCACCTAAAAATTGCTGCTTTGCTGTGGTGTGTGCGTGCCCGCGGGAGTGCGTCGGTGGGGAAACAACTCGTGAGGTGTCGATTCGGCTTCGCTGGGTGGGTGATGGCAACACACAAAAACAATCCTCCTCCAGACCTGCTGATCCATCATCATTATCCCCATTGTGCTGTGTCAAGTGCAGGGATCCTCCAATGGGGAGGATCTCTGCTGAAAATCCTCTCGGTGGTTGGATGAAGCAGCAAATGCTGTTTGCTTTGATTTATGTTGGGAATTGTTGCAGAGCCATCCTGTGAAATTTTGTGCTGCTGGCAAGCTGTTGCACCAGCCAGTCCAATGAGAACCATGAAAATGAAGAATCTGAGTTGATGTGTACTGGTGAGTCCCATGAGAACCATCAGAATGAAGAATCTGAGCTGGGGCTAACCCTTAGACAAGGAGCCTCTTCCCCAGACTGCCAAAAGTGCTGCTGCTGTGACAAATGCCAACCAACTCAGAAGCACCATGAGCAGCTCTTGCTGAAGGAAAAAAGGGCAGCACATCACAACCTGAACTGGTTTCAGCACCTGCTGCTGTCTGATTGCACCCTGAAGAAAGCCAGAAGTCACCTCAGAGCGTGACCCTGAAGGGAGGAAGCCCAAAAGATGCATCACCTAAAAAATGTGCTGAGCATTTTTCTGCCCCAGCCTTGTCAGCTTTCTGCAGCCCTGGATTGTAAGGTTCTGGAAAGAGGCCACTGAGTGAGTTTCATAACTCACCATTGAAGACCATGGTCCAACCAGATCAAACGTGCTCATTTTAGACAATTCCAGTGACACCAAGCATTTTCTGAAAAGCCCAGTGGGTTCTCTTTGTATTGCTCTTTTTAGCTTGAACCAAGGAATTACAATGAAAAGTACTTTTACCATTTTTGTGAAATATTTTTGGGCATTTCTTTCTTATTTATTGGAATTAAAATGTGAGGCTTTGCCCTCCTGTTTGCTCTTAGTTTCAAGCAGGCCTTGCCTCCTTTACCTCCTCCCCTGAACTTGTGTGAGTAGCTTTGTGCTATGATGTGTAAGGCCAGAGTACATCCAAGGAGCAGCAAATTCAGGGTAAATGAATCTGTGCTCCAACACCTTTTCTATTCTCTATTTTTATTCTATTGAGACATGTTCTATTTTTGTAGAAGCAAGGTGAGAAGGATTGTAACAGGTGTGTTCTGCACTCCTTTCAACAAAGCTTTGTTCTTTCTGAGCTAACCCAGCAGTTTGCCATTTCCATTTCCAACATACATTTTAAGATATATGGCTGGCAGATTATGCCACTTGTATTTATATCTGCAATTGAAAAATGCATTAATTTTGTTAATATTCATAGGACAGCATCTTATATATCTAGAGTGGGAAAACACTACCCTAGGTATTTATGTATTTCTGTTCTAGCATATGAACAAATTCTCCTTTTGAAACTTACACTGAATATTCACTCATATTCCTATCATTTCCCCACTTCTTTTGGTCTTTTCTATTTTGGCTGGTTTTGTCAAAAATTAGGCCTTTTACTAATATATAGCTGAACTAAAGAGTCCTAATAGTTTTGTAGTGCCTGAAATTCCCACTGCCACATTGTCCGTTCATCTTTTCCTGATGATTTACCTGCTCTTATGAGGGTTATAGTGATGTTTCTACAATAATGACTGTGTTGGGTATCTCAGAACAAGGTAGAGGGTACATGAACTTTGCTTTTATAGCAAAGATTAATTCTGCAAGAGGATAAATAAAGAATTTGGTCACTGTGGATGGAAAGGTGACAGTTTTCAATATGCTCTGCTCTCTTTTGGAGGCAGTTGTTTGGTCCTTGCAGTAATTTAAGCTGTGCCAGGGTAGGTTTAGGTTGGACATTAGGAAGAATTAGGAAGAATTTATTCCCAGAAAGTGATTAAATATTGCAACGTGCTGCCCAGGGAGGTGTTGGAGTCACTGAGCCTGGAAGCGTTTAAGTAAAGAGTGGCGTGGCGCTCGGTGCTCTGCTCTATTTGTCAACGTGGTGTTCCGTCACAGGCTGGCCTCGATGATCTCAGAGGGATTTTCCAG